CGAGGGATCAGCAGTTAGCGTAATGGCTATGTCGCTGAACTCCCATGTAGTTGACCGCGGTTTGAGTCCCGGACCCGGTGGCTTAAACTCGCACTGGGTGCATGTGCGTGCGTGCCCAGGATCCCAAGAGGAGAATGGAGGAGAAGAGATTGTGGCGTGGCCATCCCCTCCATCCCTCCTGGGAGGTGATTTCTTGCTTTCTGTCTCTCTGTCTCTGTCTCTCTGGCAAGTGCACGCGCCCTATAGCAAAAACCTCTCCAAGAAAGAAAAAAAAAAGCTTTATAAAAAAAGTGAGATCCATGAAAGGAGCCTGGGGTCCAGAACACGGGGAATCTACAGAGAGAAGTCACAGCGTCTGAGGTCTCCAGAAACACAAGCATGCACATTCTTGCAGGTGTCCAAGGCTTCTAGTCATGTGATCTGGAAGGGTCGGCCCTTAGTGCAGTGGTAAGCCCTACACGTGGGAAGTAGGTCCCATGAAGCCAACTGCAGCTCGAGTCCCGGCCCCAGCAGCTTGGAAACTCTGGGCTCCTATGCGTGCGTGTCCTACATCCTGAGAGGTTGGAGAAATAGCAGGAAGAGGATTATAGCGTGACCACACCCCACCAGGGAGGGCTTTCTTCTAAGAATAAAGACATGGAAGAGTTAAAACTGGTTGTGGGAACAGGAATTGGAGCAGGTGAGACACAGGACTACCCTGCTGGTTTTTGTTATAAATGTTGTTAAATTGCTTCTTTATCAATAATCTAAATCTGTTCGTTTGTCATAAATACAAAACAAATATTTAAAAGTGCATCAAAAGTGGAGTCAGCAGGTGGCATGGTGGTCGAGGGCGCTGGACTGTCACATGGGGGACCATGGGTTCTAGTCCTGGTCTTGGCAGCTTGCTTTCTCACTTTCCTTCTCTCTCTCACTCTGTCCCTCTCTGGTCAAATCTAAATAAATAAATAAAGTTACATAAAAAAATTTTTTTTTTAGAAAAAGTGCATCAATGGGACCAGCAGTTGGCATAATGGCTATGTCACTGGACTCCCATGTAGTCAACTGCAATTTGAGTCCCAGACCCGGTGGCTTAAGCTTATGCTGGGCATGTGTGTGTGCCTGCCCAAGATCCTGAGAGGAGAATGGAGGAGAATGGGATTGTGGCGTGGCCATCCCCCCTGGGGGGCGGTGATTTCTCGCTTTCTGTCTTTCTGTCTGTCTCTGTCTTTCTGGCAAGAGAGAAAAAACTCTCCAAAAAAGAAAAGTGCACCAAAAGGATAAAGAAAAAGAGTTGTTCTTCTGGGATATGATCTTTCAGAGACACAAGGGAGCAAGGAGTGGCTTGTTAGTAGCTGTCATTGCCTGGGATGTTTTTCACTTGCTTGGTCTCGTTTCTGTGTGACTTCTTTTTCTTTAAAAAAAAAAGTTTTAGAGATTTTTGTCTTAGGGCACGTGTGCTTACCAGAGACAGACAGTGAGAGGGAAAGCGAGAAATCACCCCCCAGGGAGGATGGCCACTTCATAATTGCTTCTCCATTCTCCTCTCGGGATCTCGGGCACACACGTGCGCCTGGAGTTTTTCAAGCCCCAGCTCCAGAACTTGAACCACAGATGACCATGTGGGAGTCCAGCAATGTAACTGCTACACCGTCTGCTAGACCCATGGACTTCCATGTTTTTTTTTCCCCTAAAGAATTATTTATTTTAATTCCATTTGTTATTATTTTTATTATTTTTAAATTTGACCAGAGAGAAAGGGAAAGGGTAAATGCAAGCCACCAGGTCCAGGACTCGAACCGCTGTCAGCCATGTGGAAATCCGGCGCCTTTAACCACCACGCCACCTGCTGGCCCCAACTTTCATTTTTTAAAAGCAATAATGTACTCAATGGAGTCGAAGATGAGGGTTGGGGTCATTCAGGTTGCACCTGGGTTCCATTCTGCCTCCTCTGCAGGACTAGTTCCGTGACCTCTGGCAAAACCTCACCTGCCGTCCTGTACCTCAGAGTCCTGGCAAAGATGGGTCTTCTGGGGGAGGCAGGTGTGAGCAAGTCCCTGCCCCTTAGGAATGAGCGTACTGGGCAATAGGGACATGGGATATCCAGTGACCACCACCCATGAATCCCATCTCCACGCCTTCCTCCTGGGGGAGCGGACCGCCCCTAGCAGAGGCCACTGGCCGGGAAGCAGGGGCTGGCTGGAACACAGCCCTGGGAACCCTCCGACCCTGTGCCAAGGGTCCCTGTGGTCTCAGCAAACCTGGGCAGCCTGGCTGCCAAGCTGCAGAGAAGGAGGTGCTAGTGCCTGGGGCTCCCTGCCCTTCCCAGCCTTGGCACACAGGGGCCGTTCATGAGCAAGCGCTCCTCGGGACCAGCGTACGGAACTCGTTACCCGCCTGCTGACTGGGCACGCCCAGGCTGTCTCCCCCGCTCCTCTCCTGCACAACTGTCTCTGCCCGCCTGAGTCCTGGCAGTCCCTGAGTCCCAGCTCAGATGCCACTTCTGTAGTGCCCCCGGCCTTTCCCACGAACCAGAGGGGATGGCACTTCTCCTTTGGCATCTGCTCCTTACCAAGCATGGGGTTCAGTGGTCTGAACGTTCATGTCCTCCATTGTATACGTTGAAATCCTAACCCCCAAGCTGACTCTGGGCAGCGATTAGTCATAGGGTGGAGCCCTCCTGAGTGTCTGCCCTGGGAAAAGGGGCCCCCGCTGCTTCTGGCTCCCTTCTTGCTGTGATAGTAGTCCATGGCCTGGAGTGGGCCCTCCCAGAAGCCACGGTCTCGGCCTTCCAACCTCCCGAACTGGAGGAGCAGATTTCTGCTGTGTGGAAATACCCCGGGGCTGGGACTCCTGTAGCAGCCCAGACTGAGGGCCCTTCCCTGGTCCACTGGCTCCTTCCTTGTTTCTTCTTCGTCACTCCCACGGCCCATCGCCCACCCCAGGCCGTCACCAAAGCCCTGGATGACTGAGGACAGGGGAGAGGCCGCAGACACAAACGTGGTGTCTCCAGGGGTTTGACGGTCCAGCCGTCACCAAAGCTGCAGTACCGGAAGCTGCACGGCCACGCAGCAGATGCCCAAGATCCTGAGAGACTAGAGGGCCAGGGAAAGGGGGTCTCAGCGTGTCGAGAGCACCCACCCCACCCAGCTCCCTGTCCTGTGTGCACACACACCCTCATGAATAAAAATAAGCTTCTTATTTTTAGAGATATTTGCCTCAGGGTGCATGTGGTCACTGGAAAGAGAGATGATGAGAGGGAAAGTGAGAAATGACCCCCAGGGGGATAGCCACCCCGCAATCCATTCTCTTCCCGGGATCCTGGGTTTGCCTGCATGTGTGCCTGGTATGATTTTCAAGCACTGGGTTCAGGATTTGAACCATAGTCAGGGGACCAGCAGATGGCAAAATGGTTACATTGCTGGACTCCCATGTAATCCACCACGGTTCAAGTCCCAGACCTGGTGGCTTAAAACTTATGCCAAGGGACTGCAGCGTGGCCATCCCCCCAGGGGGTGATTTCTTGTTTTCTGTCTCTCTATATCTCTTTGGCAAGCACACGCACTCTATAGTAGAAATCTCTAAACATACGCACACTGAACTGCAGTCGGCCATGTGGGAGTCCAATGACATAACTGCTACACCATCTGCCGGTCCCCAAAATATACAATATTTTAAAAATAATTACTTTATTTATTTATTTATTTATTGAAATTTGACCAGACAGTGACAGAGAGAGAGGGAAAGTGAGAAAGCAAGCCACCAGGTCTAGGATTTGAACTGTGGTTGCCCATGTGGGAGTCTAGTGCCCTTAACCACCGTGCCACCTGCTGGCCCCCAAGATAAACTCTTTATTTTATTTTATTTTATTTTATTTTTTTGAGAGATTTTCAATGTAGGGCGCATGCGCTCGCCAGACAGAGAGAGACATAGAGACAGAAAGCGAGAAATCACCCCCCAGGGGGGATGGTCACGCCGCAATCCCTTCTCCTCCATTCTCCTCTCGGGATCTTGGGCACGCACGCACACGCGCCCGGCGTGAGTTTTAAACCACTGGGTCCGGGACACGAACCGCGGTCGACTACGTGGGAGTCCAGCGACATAGCCATTACGCTAACTGCTGGTTCCAACTCTTTTTTTTTTTAAAGAAATGTATAAACAGTTGGAAAAGCAAAGCTCTGATACCTACAATGGGAGGTAGACTCTGCCTGAGTGGAAGAGGACAGAGTGACAGCTTCCTTGTACCAATGAGGGGGAACCTGCCCAGGGCCAGGCTTGTCACAAAGCAGTGAGTCTCAACCCAGGGGTTCTACCCCCAGGGGACACTGGCAGTGCCTGGACACTGGGCGGGGTGCTCCTGGCACGTAGTGGGTAAAGGCAGAGATGCTGCCAGATGCCCTACGTTGCCCAACGTCGGATTCTGTGCATGGACTGAGCACCACCGGACTGCACGCCCAGCGGTGTGCTGCGAGTGTGAGCTGCAGCTCTGTCCAGCTGTCAAACAGCAACTGCAGAAAACCAAAACCCAAACCGAGACAGGGCTCGGGGTGGCTCAACAGGACCCAGGGGCACTCTGGGTAAGGGGGCGGCTTACACGCCACCGCCGGGCTTCTTTTGTGCTGTTTTGCCTTGTCTATCCCCTTTAGTTTTTCTTTTTCTGTTTTTATCTTTCCAACTGCACAGTTGGTTGTGCTGGTCCTGCATCTTCACCAGCTGCCGGGGCACCTCCACCCTTGGTATCTCTTGCGCTCTGTGCTTTCCAACTAGTTTATAAGTCCTTGCCGAGGAGCTCCCGAAGTGCTGCCCTGGCCCTGGAACTGATCTTCAGCCTCTCGGCGACCACAGCTGGGTGCGAACGTAGAGTTGGGGACTTCCTTAGACTTTGTCAATCAAGACCGAGTTACTGAGCTCATCCCAAACTCTACCTTTGGGCCACTTCTCTTTGGCCTTGCCCCCAGATTTGTTCACTGGGTCATTGACCTTCTTGGCCAACTTCCGGCGTCTTTCTTGTCATCTGTGGACAGCATGGTGAAGCCCGGAGAGCAGCAGGAGCCACTGCAGCTTCGCTAAGATGGCAGATGGAAAGGCTTTCCCCTGACCATCAGATGGCGTAATGGTTACATCGTTGTCGGATTCCCACGTAGTCGACTGTGGTTCGAGTTCCAGACCCAGTGACTTACACTCATGCTGAGCGCGTGTGCATGCTTGCCCAAAACTCCAAGAGGGGAAGGAATTGCAGTGTGGCCACATCCTCCGGCGGGGATGGGTGATTGCTTGTTTTCTGTCTCTCTGGCGAGCGCACAGGCCCTATAACAAAAAATCTCTCAGGAAAAAAAAAAGGCTTTCCCCTTAGCTTAGTGGTTTTTTTAAATATTAATTTATTTAACTTTATTTATTTAAATTTGATCAGAGAGGAACAAAGTAAGGAAGAGAGAGGAGAGAGAGAGGGAAAGCAAGAAAGCAAGCCACCAGGTCTGGGTCTCGAACTGCAGTCAGCTATGTGGAAGCTTAGCACCCTTAACCACCACGCCACCAACTGCCACTTCCACTTAGTTTTTTTTTTTTTTTAAAGGATTATTTATTTTATTTTATTTATTCATTGATTTTATTTTAATTTGACCAGAGAGAGACACAGAAAGAGAAAGAGAGGGAAAGTGAGAAAGCAAGCCACCAGGTCCGGGACTCAAACCTTGGTTGGCCATGTGGGAATGTCCAGCACCTTAACCACCATGCCACCTGCTGGTCTCCTCCTCCCCTTAGTTTTTAATTCATTAAGCACCTTTGAAAGTTTTCCAGCTGCCTAGGGGATCTATAGGTATTTTCCCACCCTCAAGTCTGGAGAGCTACAGGACAGGACAGGCGTGGCGGGAGTGGGCAAGTTGGCATCAGTGTGTGCTGAAACGGGGGGAGGGGCAGGAACACAAAGGGACACCCATGACCTCTGGACCCTCTGGCCTGGTGCTCACTCCAAGATTCCTTTCTTGGCCACTGTTATGGGTTGAATTGTGTCCCCCCAAAAAACCCAATCGAGCCCTAACCGCTGGTCCCCGTGCAGGCGACCTTAACTGGAAACAAGGCCTTTGCAGACATGACCCAGTTAGACCAAGGGGGCACTGGAGCGGGCAGCCCTGGCCAATGGTCAGCGTCCTTAGACTAGAGGACACACAGGCACACGGGCAGACACAGACGGCCCAGCAGTGATGTACCCACAAGCGGAGGCACACCAAGAGGCCTGCTGCACCTCCAGAAGCCGGGGAGCAGCCGCGGACAGAAGTCCCTCAGTCAGAGGGAAATGAGCCTGCCACCTTCCGGATTCCCGAACGGGGACAGAAGGCATTTCTGTTGTCTCAAGCCTCCCAGTGCCTGTACGGTTAGGGAGGCCCCAGGAAACTAGCAAGAATTCTCCCAGGAGGCAGCCCCACCCTTCCCGTGGCAGACCCTGGTGTGAACAAACTGTGGCCTTCCTTCCCCTGCCCAGGGCCTCACCTGTCTCCAAGAGACCCCAGGGCTCTGTCTCCGTGCCTACCAGCAGAGGCCAGTAGGCCCTGAGCCTCACCCTGGGGCGCTGCCCTGCACCCGCCCCATATCTCCATACATCTGCAGGGTGGATCAGCAAGCAGGAGCTGACTGCAACTGGGTCAGGTGTCCCCAGGAGCATGAGATGCCCAAGGTAGGGTCGAGCTTGCTGGGTCTGGAGGAGGTGGAGCCTTCAGGGCTGGGCAGGGCCAGGTAGAGGTATGCACATAAAGAAGGGAGCGGGCCAGGCCCCTGGGCCCTCCTGCCCAAGATCACTTCAAAGGTCTGTAACACTGCCCGCAGTGCAGCTCTTCGGGGGCACGCACACTGCCTTAGCACCCTGGCTGGGCAACTGTGGGCACGCTACAGGGCTTCTCTGACCCTCCTTAGCAGGGGGAGATTCTGAGAGACAGCTCTCTGCGGTGTGTGGCTCCTGGGAGACATTACCCCCTTTCTTTCATCTCTCCCTCCTTTCAGGATTTTGAGCACGCACACAGATGTGCCTGGCATGTTTCTCAAGCCACTGGGTCCAGAACTTTAACTGCACGACTGGCCATGTGGGATCCAGCCACCTCAACCACCATGCCATAAGCTGGCCTAAAAAAACTCTATATAGGATGATGATGACGGGAATTTTAATGTCTCTGTATTGACCGATACAAATGGTATTCCTTCTGGAAAAAGAAATGTAATACACTGTAAAGTTATATGTGACTCAATGTAATATAAAGAAGATTATGATCATTTAAAAATTTTTTAAACTCTATATAAATTTTTTTTGGTTTATTTATTTGAGAGAGATTTTTGCTACAGGGCGTGAGCGCTCGCTGGAGAGACAGAGACAGAAAGTGAGAAATCACCCCCTGAGGGGATGGCCACACCACGATCCCTTCTCCCTTCTCCACTCTCCACTCGCAATGCCAGGCACGCATGCTCACTTGCCCAGCGTGAGTTTCAAGTCACTGGGTCTAGAACTTGAACTGTGTCCAACCTGTGGGAGTTCAGTGCCTTACCCTCTATGCCACCTGCTGGCCCCCAACTTCTATTTTTAATGTCGCCATCCTCTAGCTAACACGTAGCACTGCTTTCTCTCACATGGAGGGGGTACACGGCAGTGGCACTAGCAGTACCTGTGACTTTACCACTAATAAAAATGACCGATAATGTCTTTTTTTTTTTTTTGAGAGTTTTTTGCTATAGGGCACGTGTGCTCTTTCTGGCTGACAGTTCCTCACCTGTCCCTTGTGTCCGATGACCGTGAGAGGCGCTGTTCAGGTACTTTGTACACCATCCCTCAGCATTTGTCGGCGTTTTCGCCTCAGTACACAGGTGTTAGTGTTTGTGGGAAGAAGAGCCACCCGCACCGCATCATAGCCAGGGCGCAGGTAGGCCAGCCTGAGGCCTAGTGGTTCAGGGAGCCAGATCCTGCATGTCTGACCGCTGTACGAATCCCAGACCCTGTGGCTTGAAAAACACACTGGGTGTGAGTGTCTTTTTTTTTTTTTGGAGAGGTTTTTCACTATAGGGCGCGTGCGCTCGCCAGACAGACAGAGAGAGACATAGAGACAGAAAGCGAGAAATCACCCCCCAGGGGGGATGGTCACGCCGAAATCCCTTCTCCTCCATTCTCCTCTCGGGATCTTGGGCACGCACGCACACGCGCCCGGCGTGAGTTTTAAGCCACCGGGTCCAGGACGTGAACCGCGGTCAGCTACGTGGGAGTCCAGCAACATAGCCATTACGCTAACTGCTGATTCCCAAGTGTCTAAAGTCCTGACAGGATGGAGGGATGGAGAAGGGATTGCAAGCAATGAGGCCCCATTGGCCTTCTCTCTGCCTCGCTCTCTGATGAGCTCGCGTGCCCTCTGGCAAGGGAAAAGAGGAGCAGCGTGCCACGTCACTGCGTGTGCCCTTGGTTCCCGGCTGGGGCAGTGTTTCTTAGGCTTCTTTTTTAAAAATTAATTATTTAATTTTATTTATTCATTCATTTATTTTAATTTGGTGAGAGAGAGAGAGAAAAGCAAGTGTGAAAGCAAGCTGCCAGGTCCAGGACTTGAACCATAGTCAGCCATGTGGGAGTATCCAGCACTTTAACCACCACGCCACTTGCTGGCCCCTCTTAGGCTTCTTCACAGCAAAACTACTCACTCTTCCTTTGTGAGAGTCACCATGCGCACCCACAGGCAAGGCTGTTCTGCTCAACCTCCGAGCAGCTACAAAAGCCACTTGGAATTCTTGTGCGTGGGAAATGTGTCTCTTCTCCCTGTATTCATCTATGCCTTTCTGTGAGCATGGACTCCTCAAGGTTATTCCGGTCCGGTTTATAATCTGCACTACCGACTCTGTTCTGCGTCGTCGGTAACCTGCTTGCCAGACGAGCGGCGTCCAACCGAACGCTGTCCTGCTTCTGTAAGCTGCTTGAAGGCAGATTGCTGGTCTCTACAGGACCTGGCCATGTGGTTTTCGAACTTGAGTTTCCAAGAACTAAGAGTACGAACTGTCTAGCAACTTTTCTGCAACACTTCCTTTTCTGCAACACCTGTAACCCCTGACAGATGTACCTATGGTCCCCTGAACCTCCCTAAGTCAGCTCCCAGAGCTTAGAGCTGGAGCCCCTCTGGGTCAGAGCTCTCCTGTTCTCTGAGTGGTGCTCCGCCTTTCTGCACGGGGTCTGTATTGCAGCGCTGGGAGGTAGGCCACCATGCAGCGTTTCCCTGCATATCTGGATGGTTCTGCAATGCCTCTCCTTGGGGAGACCCCAGCCCCAGCCCTAGGCAGGCACACCAGTGCCGGTGGGTGACCGGGTGACCGTTGACCAGAACTGAATTCCTCTGACAAGGGACTTGGAAGATGATGTCAACTTCCTACTTCGGGTCTGGAAAAGCCCAAGTTCCCCAGGAGGGGTAAACAGTCGCTAAGGGGCGAAAACATCCAGACATCAGCAGTGCTTTTTCTCTGCAGTCAGCAGCGGGGCAAGCTCGGGAATAGCGCCAGGGAGGGGTCTGGAACGCAAAGGTGCTGGCTGAGGCAGCCAGTCCACTCATCCCCTTGGGAGCCCTGGGCCTGCAGGTTGGGGAGGGGAAGAAGGGGCGAGTGTGCCCCCTCACATCCTTTCACACAGGAGCTGCAGGCCCAGGAGTGCAGCGCGCCCTGGGAAGCCCTTGAAAGCCAGCCCGGTGGGTGGCCCCCACGGGACTTGCGACTTGCGGCAGGGCTGGTGGCACTTGGGGGGGAGGAGGGCGGGACGAGACAGGGGGCTGGACCCTTGGCCTGCGTCCCAGGGGGCGGTGCCGCGGCGCGCACGTTGCTGGTCCCTCCCAGGCGGGGGCCGAACCGGCGGG